AAACGAGCCAAGAACTGGTCCCACAAAAATTTGTCCATTTTTGCACGTTCGACAGTCTGCAACATTTTTTTAGCGGCGAAGTTGTGGTATGTCCTGCAAGTACTGCACTGTGCAAGGATAAATATACAGAAGTTGCACAGGGTGTGTAGTGTTCTTGTCTGGAAATCCTCCTGGGAACCCATGCGTCGTGACAACTTGTTTCGACGTGTATCAGAGGGGGGACTAGGCCTTCCTCATTTGTTTATTCGCCAATTGGTTTCGCGATTTCTTTTCTTACGAAACCAGGAACATCCTTTTCTTCGAGATGTCATTCAGAACAAGCTGGGATGCTTTCCTGCGGACTTTATTGTATCCTCCACAGGATATCAAACATGTGCTTTGGTAGGATACCTAAAGGAAGTAGTTGATGCTGATCACTTTCTGTCAGTAAGATTTTCAAGAGACTATCTGACGTCTGTAACACGTAAGAAGTTGACAAGAGATCTTGTATGTGTCCTCTTTCCAATGCCAGTTTATCGCACTATGTTCGGCGATGGTCCTGACCAAGATGTACTACGCCGGGTGAAAAAATGTGCATCCACACGGCGGCAAAAACTTTCTTTTTTAAACTGCACTGTTCGGTATTACCTACCATGGTATGGCTGCAGGAAAAGGGCCTATATGTTCCGTGGTCAGTAAACTGCACATTATGTAAAATGCCCGAAACAGTCGAACACGTATTTATTCACTGCTGGGACGCGGTTTTCTTTTGGGACGTTTTGCAGCGCACACTAAAGAAAGACATTGATATTACAACTTACACGATTCGTTTTCTTATTGTGTCATCTAAAGATACTTTTCCTTTCGATCTGGTGATGCTTGTAGCGTTATACAGCATGTGGAAATCACGCCTTGACATTAGAAATGAGAATTTGTACCCAAAGACTGTACGCTTACATTTCATTGACCTTGTAACCCGTATCAAAAGTGTGTATGACATTCAAGAAGTAGTTCCGGAATGGTTACCTTTGTTTAGTAGTCTCATAGATATCAAAGAATTTTGACTTAACAAATGACATTGAACCATGCCCGTGAACTGTGAATAAGTGGTTTATGTTTATCCTCCCATGCAATAAAGAAAAAAAAGAAGGGATCGGTGGCCGAGTGGTCCATAGTCGGATGCAACCTGAGAACAATCTTTTAGCTCCACCCACAAGCGCATTGCGCCCATCTGAAGTGCCTCCGCCGTCGAGAAAGTAGTTCGCTAGCAACGTTGCTTTTTCTTCCTCCAGGAAACGTTTCTTAAACTACTACAATATTTATTTAATTCATTCAGGACATTTAAATAAGTTAGAATACGTTTTTATCAATGAAATAGCTGTTTAGTAAAGAAAGAAAGTCATGTCAATGTACCGTCTTCCCAATTCATTTTCTGTCCAAGGTACTGTCTAACATACCGTCTTCCAGCGCCTTCGATTGAGGGAAAGCACGGCAATCTCAGCTCACCCCGCGGAAACCACAGCGAATTGAAGCAGCGGTGCCGGTACTATGTTGAGTAGCAACGTGGGGCAGAGGCGACAGAAATCCAACGAAGCAGACGACGTCCGGCGTAGCTTCTCACCTCTCAGCAGTGCTAAGCCTCGCGCCCGCTTCGAAATTTTCGTTGGCGATAGCGTCGCTGGATTCTCACGTTGTCGCGCAAAAACTGCTGCAAACGCAAGCCGATACCATTAAGATTTCGTGGCGTAACATCGGGCACGTAAAACACGGTGCAAAAAAGCAGAATATTTGTCACGAGAAACTAGCGTCGCGTTGTTAAGGCCAGCAGCCATGTAGAGCTTTTTTTTTTATTTTTTTCAAAAGGATCGCGATTGGTCTACGGAATCGTGACGTCATGAGAACGATTGGCTGGCGTTTCTTGGCGTAGGATTACATTTTCCTCTGAGAGGCATTTCCGGTTTTTTCTTAGCTTGCAACCGACTATAGCGCACACCAGCTCCGAGCACGTGGAGCGAAAGCTCGCGCTGCAGAACCCAGGGTCCTGGGTTCGAGCCCCACCCCTGCCCGTTCCGATCTGGATGAGGATCGTACCGGCGTGCGGTCGTGTATCACTACTGCGTGGTGCACGTTAAAGGGGTACGGAAACCAAATTCTGGAGCTCATTTCTTTGTTTCAACACGACGCAGGTAGCAGCACAACCACAGAAACATAAATATTGCGCTAGAAAACGCAAGAAAACATATTTTAAAGTGAATTAAACGATAATCAAAAACCACCTGGTAGTTGGTTATGAAGCTTCAATGGAATGTCGTGACGACAACATGCCTCTGAAAGCAGCGCCACAGCGGTATGTCCGCTCACTGGTATAGATTGCCTAGGCCTGAACGCAATACCGAGGCGTCTTGGTGGAAAGAGCCAAAACGAAGTGAGCCACCTTGGTTTCAGCTCTCGCGCGACGTGCAAACGCGTGCTTCGGTTGTTCTCAGGTTTGGTGCGCGTGTCTTTGTCGTGAAGTTTAACACACATCATTTTTCTGCGAGGTTTTTCGGCGACTTTACGACGGGATGCCAAAATATTGTGCGGCAGAGGGTTGTGGGAACAGTGTTGTTCGTTGTGAGACGTCGGCACACACGTTTCCGAAGGACGAGAAGCTCTGTTACCTGTGGAGTCGTCTCGCTCGCCCGTCCTTTCCAACGTGGGTTCCCTCGAAAAGTGATCGTCTATGCAGCGAGCATTTTCGGGATGAGGACTACATCAGGAGCCCCAGTGCCCTCCGGTATGTATGGGCCACTAACTGAACCTCTGCCATATTGCAATATCTGTCCTAGAACAACTGTTTGAACATGTGCCCAAATTGCGTGCCTTGATGCCACCGTGAACACCCATACAATGCTTTGATGGTATCAACGGTTCCCAGGTGATTTTATAGTTCCTTCTTTCTTTTCTCTTTAGGGAACTCCAGTGCGGCAACTAGCACAAGGCCGTCTTTGGCATCAGCAGCAGCGTGTTGCAAGACACGGTGTGCACTGACACAGACGACGGGCATCTACAAAAATAAAGGTAGGGTCATATGCTGGAACTTGTTTTGGTTGGTATGAGAATGCCTTAAAAAAGATTACTTTACATGGGAACCTTATGTTTGTGTTTATGGCATTGCATGATGTCAGAAGGCCACGTGACATCATTGTCATATGACAACATGGTGTCATGTGACGCCTCAGTGCGACGGTCACAATTTACCGAGTTTATTTTTTTCACAAACTTCAGATAGAAAGTGCTGTTTGTTAAACACTCCATCAAGTGTTGTCACACACTTACTGCTTTTGATGGAATGTCTAAGCCAGATGATTTTTAAATGCATATAAAAAATATTTACCATGAAAGTTATATAGATTGGCGGAAGCCAAGATACCTGTTGACTTATACATGAAGATATTACTTGAGCAATTCTAGAGATGTACTTCTAGAATTCATGGGATGTCATGAGAGTTTCTTTATTAGAAGCTTTGGCACAATTTCTGAAGTGTTCCAAGTAGCCGCCAATCCAATATTAAATTCAAATATGTGCATTTTATTGTGTAAAGGCATGTTTCTAGAGCTGCACACTGTTCACCAGTTACCCAGGCATGCATCAAACCGCCGTCAAGGACCCGGTTCGTGCAGACGGATGTTTCGGGGACGATGGTCTGGTGTTCTTCACCGTCTCACGGAGACGATGCGCTCGACACTGATCTGGATCTCTCAGATCTGTGTACACCAAGAGCAGAAGCGGATTCCAGCTACTGTCTGTCAGAGGACAGCTTTGCTAGGTTTGTATGCTCTTGAGCAATAACTGACCGCATCTTCATTCTTGACTGAGCCACTTGTTGAGATGATGTTTGTTTTTGCAACATAGCCCCGAGAAGGAAGCTCCGTCTTTGGTGAATGAGCGGAAGTTCATCGTCTTCGAGTCATGCCTGGACCAGCTACTGGAGACGTGTCGCTCCTGTGCTGCCCCCAACACTCACATCGACAAGACCGTCCAGGGCTCAAGCCTTCAGGTGTCTACGCTCTGTCGGAGCGGCCATACAGAGACGCGGTGCAGCCAACCTGTCATCAGGCGGAAGCCAGTTGGCAACATCCTGGTGGCTGCTGCAATCCTCTTCACGGGCTGCAGCATCAAGAAGGCCCTGCGGATGCTCAGTAGTATGGGCATCGCCTGTTTCTGCTACAAGACCTTCTTTATTATTCAGAAGGCCTTTCTGCTCCCGGTAATCGAGAAGGTATATTGTTATATGAAAACCTTTCTCATCTGGTAGTTTTACCAGTTGTGGATATTAAATATTGACTGGTGACAAAAGCATGATTTATTAGCCGTCCAATTTCACTAACACCCTCTTTAACATGCCCCCCCCCCCCTATCATTACAATGTTACATGCAACTTTCCCCCTGTTGAGAATAGTGCTGCAGGTTACCATGTGCCAACCCCTCTAGCAGAGATGTCATTTTTTCCTTTACCTTTTCTGCAGATTCTGCATTGCCATTTTTCTTATCGGTGACATGGGAGTATTCCAGTGCATAAGTTGTCCGGTATCCAGACTGTACTAGAAAATCGAGGTCTTATCACATGTGATGATTTTTTTTTTAGAAAGTTGAGTTTTGCTGTGAATCGTTTCATGAAGTTAGTACAAATGTGTTTCCAGGTGCCTTTCTGTTCCTGACTGAGCAAAACGTGAAAATTAGTAAAATTTTCTGCAACAATTGGTGATCAAGTATTTGTTGGTAACAGACATGGGAAGCGCACTTGAACCGAGTTAATGGGAGGACTTGCAGCAGAACGAGACTCAGTGAGAAAGGTCAAGACGTGTTGCAAGAAGTATATTTTTCAGTACAATACGGAAACGGACCATCTTGTATATTCGACCTACATCACCCTGTTCTGGTTTTGTGTTGTATAATAAATGTGTGTTGATTCCAGGCCGTTTTTGTCCACATCAGTTATAGCATGATGTAAAGGAGTTCTTCATATGGCAGATACCTTTTATTTCTTGAAACCGACATAACGTCCATCGGTGGATGGGAACTCTCGTCGAATTCGTTGCACGGCGCAGCTGGGCAGTGGCACCCGGTTACCGCGCCCCAGCTTATGGTGAACCCACCAAGTGAATTGCCGGTAGGCAGTGTAGCGGTGCCTCCTAATATGAGATGATTGCATGAAGTACCAGTCAGTTGCCAGTTCAAGAGAATATAATAGAACCTAACTGCAATTTACAAAAATTTTCTCAATATCTAGTTACATGGTAGCAATATTGATAATGCAGGAAGAAGCATACCTTTGTATTTTTTATTACTTGTCATCACCGAGGTCAATCAGTCATTGACATTTATAAAAATTTACTTCTCGTTACGCAATTTTGTTATTTTTTCCTTGAGATATCGCACCCAGCCATGCTGCAATGATGACCTGTATATGTACCAGTTGCTATCTGTATTATCTGAAATGCTATGAATACAGCGATGGACGAGCTTGAAAGCAAATTTTATTGAGTAGTAAACTCTTCGTAGATCGTGCATGTTTACATATGCGTTTTATTTGGTGACAACTATTTTCTGCCATGTTGCAAAAGATAGAGTAGCGGCGATAGTGCTTTAACTGTCAAAGCTAGTTGTGCGATAGCATTTGATTGAGAATAAACACAAAGCCATGTGCTTTTGCAGCAGTGTGTAGCTGAAGCACGGTGGAAGCTACATTTGCCTCGACAATGCAGCACAAAACAGGTGATGCCGAGTACAGTGCAGGCAATACAAGTTACAGAACTCTTCTATGGTGGTTTATCCTTTTATCTTACAAATCCAGAAAAAAATGGAGCATAAGAAAACTGGAATCATGGAATGTTGATTTCTGAAGGAGAGGCAGTATCAAGTGAGAAAATCATCTTGCTTACATCATGACTTCTGCTAGAATTACAATATACATACTCTTGTGGGCCCCTGTCTCCTGCATCAAGAGGGCAGAAGTACCGGAGCTTGAGGTACTCTAGGTCCAAGATGTCGGTGTTTAGGCAATACAGCTCGAACAAGGGGTGCTTTGTTACACAAGGCACCCCCTGGTCACTGCACATACGCACCACATTGTGCAACTTCCTGCAGCACTCCGACTCCTCGACTGTCTGCATTGGTCTGCAGACGCTGCCACAGGAGCACCTGTTAGTAGAAAGAGATTTGTTTTTCTATTTATTCACCCTTAATATTCTCGAGACCTACAAAGTGTGTGGTGTGTACAAATATGTTCGTGAAAAAGTACTAAATTCGCACAACCTTCACAACGTGTGTTCTTTACATCTTTGGTTTGCAAGCACTCACAGTAGATTACATTCCTTCAGGGAAGATTAGTAGCCGAGCATGTTGAACGGAACATGAAATCGCAGAACCAGCTGGGGATGCTGGGCTCTGTCCATCCCTCTCCTGTTCGATCTCGATGAGCATCGTACCGCCGTGTACCGTTACTACATGACATATTGCACTGACGCAATGCCTCGGCTACAGTGTGAAGCACTGTTGCTGCACTACGGCAGGCAGTCTTCAGCGATAAGTGTGAGCGAAGATGCTACCAGAGCGAGCGCGATGCTTTGAGCGGGACCGCTGCGCACGCGCGAAGGGGAAACGTCGTGCAAAACCACCTCGGGCTTGTAGCATGGTAGTGCTGGTTACGTACGCACTTGCGGCGGAGCACCCGGGCAGATTGTGTTGCTACATAACGAAAATAAAAAGCGCGAAAGGCGAGGACAAGTGGAAGACTACACAGGACAAGGGTTTGTCCTGTCTAGTCTTCCACTTCTCCTTGTCTTTCGCGCTTTTTTATTTTTGTGATGTTTACCCAACTAGGCCAACAAATTATTTCGCTAAAGATGTTGCCTGCACGATCCAGCCCACGCACGGGGAAAGCTCTTTCAAAGGCCACACGCGCTTTTTGGTTCGAAACTTGCGTTTTTATACATCTTTCAGTCCTTCCATAAAAGCGTTTCGCGGCACATTCATTGCCGTGTTCGTGCGTACGTACACTTTTGGATAGCCGCCGTTGCAAGCGTACTTCTGCTACTGATCTTTGTTAACGCGAGCGCTCCTTCGACAAAACCACGTTTCGCAAGCTTACCAACAGAAGTTACACGCTAATACAACGACCTGGTTTAGACAGCGTACTTTCATCATTCATGACAGCGCGGCTAGCGCGCTGTCATTAAATCGTCTCGCTGCTTTATTACACGTGCGCGCGCGAATGCATTCGCGGACTCTTCTGTGACTAGGCTCACTTAGTGTGCCTCAATGTCCTTCTGTTTAGGGTGATGCCACCCTTTGTAGTACCCGATGCCGACAGCACGCGCTCACGGGTAAAATACAAAGAAATCGACGAAAACAAAATGTCGCCGGAGCACAGTCAGCGCCACGAGCGCGTGCAGGGACACATTCTTTCACGCGCTTCTGAACAAAAAGTAAAAATAAAAGTGTGAGACAAAATGGCCAGATGTTTCCACCCTAAGCAAAGCGCACATGAAGGCACCCTAGGCTCACCAATTCGCCGTGCCGACGCGCCGGGCTGCTGGTGGATGTGGGCTGCCTGGCCAGCCTGGCGTTTCCGGAGAGTCGGACGACTCCTCGTCTGTTGCGGACGACGATGCCGAAGGATCGTACAGATATGGCTCTAAGCCGAATCGCTTTTCCCCCACCATAGCCACTAGCGATCTGTTGACGTCTTCGTCTTCGCTAATGTCATCGTACCCACTGCCGCTGCCACCACTCTCGTCATGTAGACACGCCATCGCGCACTCAAGGCAGTTGAAGCAGCTCTGACACCTCCGCCCCTCCGCGCCTCTGCTGCCTCTGCTGGCCCCGCGATATCTACAGCCCTTGGGTACTTCGACAAAGCGAGATTGTAACGCGTTGACGCCTCCAAGTGGCAAAGCTCGTCACTACGGTACGCTTGGTCGTCCGAGGCATGATGACGTCAAGACGTCTGCCGGATCTCCCGAGATGCATCGCGCTCCTCCATGGCTGATTTTGAAGCGCTCGCCAAAATCGCGGCATTTAGAGAATAAAATATAACCATCTGCTCAAAATACGACCGTGCGATTATTCATTACAGGCTTAGCTGATCATATTGAACTCATTTCTTGATGTTTTCTCTATATTTCAAGTTTCGATTCCGTATCCCTTTAAAGACCCCAGGCTAGCGGTTGTACCGCACTGGCTAAATTTCTCATCTACAGCTGAGAGACTCGTCGCCCCTGTGAGGCAGACCAAGTTCTAGGCTGTATAAACACACACAACCCAGTTATTATTCATGGCTGCTACTCCTGGGTGATTAGTGTTCAGTGAGAGATCTGACGCCATCTTTTCGGCGTCAGATCTCATTTAGTTAGCTTGATGCGTTGTCGCCGATTCCAACGCCTTAGCCAAATCAAACGTTTTATGGAATGTGATGGCTCTTTCAGACAATAATCGTTGCTGAAGTTGCGCATCCCAAAGAATGCATAAATGATATAACGTGATCCCGTAGCATGACCGTTCCAGTGTAAAAATTGTAGACACACCAAGAGCCACTCGGCGCTTGCGTGGATGTTCTGGAAGGTGCCATCGTCGTAACTCTTGGTATGCCAAAGTTGCAAACTTTTGCAAGTGCACGTAAAGCACTCACGTATTCTGCGAGGGTTTCATGATTCTGCGATGGTCTCATGAGGTTCCTGATATCGTTTGTGAGGTTCCTGATATTGTTTGTGAGATCGGGTCCCTGGGACCTTCCAAGAAGTTCCCAGGGACCCGAGTCGAAGTGGCACGATAGACGTTGCATAACATCATCGCAGGATACCTCGAATGTCGCTTGCGAGTGCAGTAAATCACGAACTTTGCCGTAGGTTTCTTCCCTGCAAAGACTGAAGAGCAGAGCTGGCTTCTTGGACGGCTCCGTCACGTCGTTGGCATCGAAGTTGAATTTGAGTTTTTCCTTCCACGAGTCTCACCCGTCCCTGGAATGTAGTCGGGAATTCGCCTTTGTGTCATAATTGATGAACCTTTCACGTTTTACCTCGTCGCCAGTGTTTGGTTGCGGAATATGTACATTATTTACATAGGTACAATGCCAAAAAGACGTACGGTACTCTGCTTAGCGTACGGCTGCGACCGGCGTAGCAAACGGTCGTGTATCAATACTGCGTGGTGCAAGTTAAAGACCCCAGGCTAGTGGTTTAACTGCACTGGCTAAATTTCTCATCTACAGCTGGGAGACAAGTCGCCCGTTGAGCCAGACTAAGTTCTAGACTGTATAAACATACACACAACTCAATTTGTTTTCGGCGTAGCAAGCATGTCATTCGCCCGAGAACGGCAGTGCGTGATGAGTGTGAGTGGAGCGCAGTCCGAGTCGGTCTTGCGCGCTCTTTTCTTTTTCTTTTTTCTTTTTTAAAGGGGCCCTGCAACAACTTTTTGCTGTTTTTTCTTTCAATTTGCACACAAACTGAGCGCACTGAACGGAGCAACTTAGTGAACTTTTTCTTTTCTCAAAATTCGCTTTATTTTAAAAGTTATAGGCATATTAAAAGTACAAAAAGAAGCAAAAAATAACCTCCTTCATGACGTCTTTGATCTTCCATTTTCCTGCGCCTGCGAACCGCGGCGACTGAGGAATGTGGGGAGGGAGGGGAAGACGGGGAGAGGAGGTGAGGCTGACGAGAGAGAGCTGTCCGGGAACAGGGCAGCTCTCTCTCCTCGGCCAACCAGGACCAAAAACGTCACTATTTCGTCACATGCTGCGCGCGTTCGACACCACGGGGCGCCCCCGTACGAGGAGGAGGTTTCCGCGTCGTCCGGTTAAAATATGACGCATCGGTATTTAGTTACTCTCTCCATGCCCGCTGGGTTGCCCGAACCACAAGAAACGTGGAAACCGCAAAAAGGTAGACGATTAAATTTTTTTTGGCTGGTTAAATTGGTCTATTCAACTTCAATTTCAACTTTATTGTTTCTCTCCAGGGGAGAGGGGGAGGAAAAAAAAAAGCAGACTGTTGTCGCTTGTCAGAGTTCCTCCTCCCCACCAGCAACGAGAGAAACTATTTTACGTACCAGTGACCCGTAGAACAAGGTTTACATAGAATCAAAACACACAGATCGGAGGTCCCATCAAGTATAGGCACAAATAACACAAGAGAAACAATGAACGAATATCCTTTCTGCTCAAACTCATCAAATCCGTGCCCAGTCTATGTGTTTTGTTTATAACATTAGGCAAGAGTACTGCAAAATCTCGAGGCCTTAACCTGTTCTCGAGCGAGGCGTTGACCATGTGTCAACACAAAGGCCTGCAACGGCCTGAAAAAAAGAAATTTTTGAATTTCAGTATGAGATTTGTTCCACCCCCCTAATTAAAACAGACCAAGTTAAATACTGAGGAGTTCAAATAACACGGGACTTAAAATGGGTCGCGCGTGTTAATTATGTGTGCAATATTGCTAGCCGAAAAATGGGCTTTCTGAGGAGACAGTTAAAAAATACAACACTAGAATGAAAATTAACCGTCTATAAGACATTAATTCGGCCTACGTTAGAATACGCAAGCATCATTTGGGAACCTCACCAACTATATCTTTCGTACGGTATAGAAAAAATTTAAAACTGGGGTTTAAGATTTATTTTTTCAAAATATAGGCGCGCGGGGAGCACGTCCGATTTGCTTGAACAATCGAAAATGCAAAGTCTTGGTGTTAGACGGATCATTGCGCGCTTAAAGTTCATACATCAACTTTATCATGGTCACCTTAAAATGAGAGCACATAATTATATGAGGAAACCGCATAGTCGCTCTAATCGAACTAACCACAGTAAAATTATCAAACCGTACATCAGCCATAATGACACGTTCAAGTATTCGTTCTTTGTTCATAGCACTGAAGATTGGAATTTGTTGACGGAGGGTTTAATCAAAATTTGCGAAACACAGTCGTTCGGTCATGGCTTGACTAAGTACTTTTAGGAAATGTTACAGCCAAAATGTCATTGATTTTAACATGTAGGATACCCTAAAAATTCCTTTTTTTTTCTGTATCAGCATTCGTTTAATGTAATCTGATGAAAGCATGTATTTCTGTACAGTAGCCTTTGTTGAATGAGATAAAAACTGTGTGTCTCATTTTTGTGTCATTGCTTGACTGAATTTTTAAAGTACTATGTTCTCCGTCGTTATGCGTTTATGTATTGTCGTTTTCTTCTTTTTTTTAGCGTTGTATATGGTACTATTGTGTATTGTTGCCTGTAACCTGCCAGGGCCTGAGAAAGGCTTGCAGTATTTTCAAATAAATAAATAAATAAATATGCAGGCACTCTCTGCTTCATATTGGCGATTGATAGAAAAACAAGTTAATTTTGCCTTACAGACGTTTGATATGTTCGAAGAAGTTTATAATTATAATGCTCTGCAATCGGAATTGTATGAAGGTTTTTGAAAAGTTGTAATGTGTGAGCGTTGCACATAATGCGAATTATTCCTTTCTGGAGAACATGCAAGTGATGCATATTTGTAACCGTTGTGCTACCCCAAACAAGGAAGCAGTAATTATTGCAGGAGTAAAAGAAGGAGTTATAAAGAAGAATTTAAACCGAAAGGGATAATATATGAAGGGATATATCAATAATGCCCACAACTTTTGAAAGTCTGCCAGCTATGCATTGTACTTCGGTGTCCCAGCTCATCTACTCATTAAATATCACACCAAGAACCTTCACATTTTGTACAAAGTCAATATTTCGTCCTTGGAGAGAGAGAGCCCTTGATTAGATGAAAACACTGTATTTTTGGATCGAAAAATTGTTGCTTTCGTCTTTTCTGTATTATTTACTAAAGAGCTCGAGATTGTCCAGTCACTTATCTTCTGCAAAACGCTATTTGCCGCACATAAAACCTGGTGGAGAACTTTCCCCGAAAAGAATAAACTGGTGTCGTTTGCGTAAATTATACAATCTGCACTGTCGTCTATATTTACTATATCTTTGATGCATAAGTTAAACATAAGGGTTCCAAAGATGCTCCCCTGCGGCTCCCCTGACGTCAGCTTCTTTAAGCTAGAGATCGTTGACTGCCGATCACGACACACTGATGCCGATATTTAAAAAAAAAAACAAAAAAACTCTCGATCATCGTTGAGGCTACTCCTTGCACCCCGTATGCATTTAATTTTTGAAGCAGAGTTTTATGATTTAGACGGTCGAAAGCCTTTGAAAACATCAGCGAAGACCCC